ACACACACACACACTTTTGCTCGCTCACACACACACACACACACTCACTATCACACACTCACTCCTGCTCACACACACACACTCACTCTTGCTTGCTCGCACACTCTTGCTCTCACACTCACTCACACATATTCATTCTTGCACACTCTCGCTCACCTTCACCCTCACACACTCACTCTCATACACTCACACACATTCACTCTCGTTCGCACACACACTCACTCTCACACACATTCATTCTTACACACTCACTCTTGCACACTCTCACTCTCAGATACTCGCACATATTCACTCGTTCGCACACTCACTCTTGCACACACACACACGCTCGCACACACTCACTCACTCACTCATTCACTCTCACTCACTCACTCACACACACATTCATTCTTGCACACACACTCACTCTTGCACACTCACACATATTCATTTTCGTTCGCGCACACCCACTCACTCTCACTCACTTACTCTCACTCACTCTCACACACGTTCATTCTTGCACACTCACTCTTGAACAGTCTCACTCTCGCTCACACACTCGCACACATTCACTCTCGTTTGCACACTCTCGCACACTCTTGCTTTCTCATACACACACTCACTCTTGCACACTTAGTACATACTCACTTTCGCGCACACACACATACTCGAGGAGCCACAACACATGACTGATGTGTGGTTGTGTTTCAGACTGTGAGTATCTGATCAGACACATGTTGGTTCTGGAACCCAGTCGACGGCTTTCAATGGAGCAGATCTGCAAGAACAAGTGGATGAGACAAGGAGACCCCGACACCGAGTTTGACAGAGTCAGTCACACACACAAGCACAAAAACACACACTACATACACGTGATGTTTGCAGTTCTTAGACCTAAAACAGTTTTTCGATGTGTAGAATTATTGCTGATTTACCTGTGTCTCTGTCAGCTGATAGCAGAATGTGAGCAGGTGAAGGTGGAGAGAGAAACGGAGTTAATTAATGAGCAGGTGCTGATGGCCATGTCAGAAATGGGCTTCGACCGCGAGCGGACCTTACAGGTGTGACACACACACACACACACACACACACACACTCACACACACACACACTCACACTCACACACACACACACACACACACATGTCTGGTTTGCTATCCTTGTGGGGACTCTCCATAGGCGTAATGGTTTTTCTACTGTACAGACCGTATATTCTATTGTCCTACACCAACCCTACCCCTAAACCTACCCCTCACAGGAAACTTTGTGCATTTTTAGATTTTCAAAAAACTTTTAGATTTTCAAGAAATCTTTGTTTTCTAGATTTTCAGAAAACAAAAAACATTCTGTATGATTTATAAGCTTTTGTACCCGTGGGGACCACAATTTAGGTCCCCACCGTGACACGAGTCCCCATGAGTCTGTGTGTAGTCAGGTTTAAGTCCCCACCAGGATATATAAACCAGTACACACACACACATACACCTCCTTCATTCAGATGAGTTCTCCTGAAACATTCACATGGTTGTGTTTCTCCTCTCAGTCTCTGCAGACGGATGCCTATGATCACTACAGCGCCACCTACAGTCTGCTGTCTGACAAACTCAAGCGGCACAAGAACCTGTGTGTTGCTCCACCCACGCCCCGCCCCCTCTACCCGCTCAACACCATGCAGGTGTGTGCCGTTACCGTTAGCAACCTTTGATTCCTGATGAGAGGAATATGCATGAGCTCCAGAGTGCCTCATTTACATACTGTATGAAAGCAGAGCCGTGGGCTTCTGCACAACTAATGATGATTTTAGAGGAAGGGGATCGTGGGGTTGTGAGAGGATTCTGGTTATGTGATGCAGTGTTTCTCAGCCTTCTGATGGTCATTATCTTTCTGTATTTGCTCTGAAATCACTTACAAAAGGGATTATTTTCAGTCAGAGCAGCCAGAATTTGTATCAGATTTAAAATGTTCAATTCAAAACGAAAAGACTAAAACTAGATGAAAATCTAGTTTATAATGATCAAGGCATCAATTATCAAAATTTCATTACTTGAAATAAAAAATAAATATTAACAGAAATTAATTTAAGTTTTTTTAATTTTATTTCAGCTAGTTTCCAAAGCAACCTAAATAGTTAACTAAATAAACTAAAACTTAAAAACTTTATAGACATATTTTGAGTCCATCAGTGTTGTAAGAAAAAGTGAAGACGTCAAAGATCTTGATGAAGAATAACTTTTATTACAGAACAGTAGTGACAAAGTACATGTAGTACCTTGGGTTCAACGGAGTCAGACTGAACCCCGAACATCCTAAGCTCAATCATTTTATACAGTATTACGTTCATCTTCCCGCTCAACATGTAAATTAAGTTTCGTTTTAAATGTAAATTGCGGATGACAATGAAAGTGATAGCCTTCCGTTCCCACATCTTCGGTAGACTCAAGTGGGAACAACCAAATGTTAAGGTGATAAGATTAAACAGAATCCATAGCAGTTATTTCATGTACCCTTTTGGTCAGCAGATGGTTCTTGACGGCCTGCTGCTGCTCCCACGCTATAAGTGACAAATTATCGCTCCGGAGGTACTATTTACATATGATTAAGATCGGAAAGAACTATCTATATGATAATTAAGCTCTTTGTAGAGAAAGGAGCATAGTTTAATACACAATTTGGAGTGGAAGCTGGGTCGAGGCAGACTATAATTTCTTACAGTGTATTTGATCAGCGTGGAGCTGATGGTTGATCTGCTTCATCACGTATGTGTGTGTGTGTGTGTGTCCTGCAGGATCAGAGTAGCGCTGTCAGTATGACGGTACCGCAGGTTCAGCTCATAAACCCAGAGAATCAGATCGTCGAGGTGAGCGTGACACTGCTTTCAGCTCTCTGCTCTCACAATCAGTGAGAATAAATCATAAATCAAATGGACTGATATACAGTGGATGAGTGTGAGGATGCAGGATGGGTTGTTTTTGACCGTGTGTGTGTGTGTGTGTGTGTGTGTTTCAGACGGACGGGACGATGGCTTTGGACAGTGATGAGGGAGAAGAGCCCAGTCCAGAAGCGATGGCCCGATACCTGTCCATGAGACGCCACACTGTGGGCGTTCCCGACCCCAGGTACCACACATCCCAGCCAGTGCCTAAAGCCCCTCCCTATTCACTAAACCACTCCTACCTAGCACAAGTCCCACCCAGTTTACTTAAAAGGTGCGTTCGACTTCATGCGGCGCTGCGCAAACCGATCGGCGGCTGACTTGAAGCAGTGCATGCCGGTTAGAAATTTTGTCCGACTTGAACCGGCGCCGACGCTACGTCACTGTCACGTGTGGCATCAAAGTACCGCGATA